CAAGATTCATTAATTTTTCAGTAAGATATAACAGCAAAAAACAAGAATGGATGAAAGTCAAAAACTGATTGACGATGCTTAAATTACAGAATATTTTTTCAAAGATGTATTAATTCAAATTAAACGAATACATATGTAATTAAAAACAGTATGTCACACAGTTTTTTATATTAAATTAAATTATATATAACAAATGAATGATTTCGGTCAATTGGATTTCCACAAAGCATTTTAAAAACTTTGTTTTGGAACTCCAATTTTCAATAGCTTCAATAGCTTCATTTTATTTGAAGCTATATCTTACAAACTGTGCTTATGATGGTTGTTTTCAACTCTAGGAACATCATTGATATTTCTGCATAAACCAATGAACAGAGACTTCTATAGAAAATAATCCACAGACGATATGATGTCACATGATCAGGAATCTATGTCGCATTTCACGTTTTGGAGACAATGTTATCATGGCATTCTTGAACATTGACAATTTATTGATTTTTCCGGTTAAAAAAAAGGAGTTTAAAATATATTGATTGACTAATGCGAGCTTAAATCAATTTTCATCTTTCATCGCTCTGTTCCAGATGCAATTTTTATACGGACATGATATGAATTTAATAAGTTGACACTCCCCTTAACGGAATTATAATTTTCTCACATCAATTTGTCATGAATACTCTTATAGTAGACCTTAAAACGGTCGTCTTTTATTTTAGTGAACATGTTATAGAAAAATTAGAAATAACTGAACATTTATGACTTGAACATTTTACAAAGTTGTGCTACAAAATAATGATCATTATTCTCATTTACTAGCCTCACACTACGAATGGGTTTTGGCTTTCTTCTCTCATCTATACATTCTTTACTTTTCTGCTTTATAGATACTTTTTTATGATTTTTATGTACTTTTTAATCCTCAAAAACGGCTTTGAATTGAGTATATATGTAGAGAATACTCTATTTCTCAAGTGTTGTAAAGCTTTTTTTTGGAAATTTTAAAGAAAGTTCAAGGATTGACAGTACAAAGATATATTACTTTTGTATCTCGGTAAGTTAAATAGGTAGATCATCAACAAATATTTAACTTTTAACCTTACTTACTTCTTGATTATTTGTGTGTGTTGAGGATATGTTATCGTTATGATATGAAAATCAGACGAGTTTTAAAAATGTGACTAATTTGATTTGGCGACTTTTGAAACAACACTGATTCCATTTCTATAAATACTAGAGAAGTTCACATCCTTTTTTTTGTATGGCCAGACTCAGAAAATGTCACGAACCTTTTCTGCTGTGTTTGCGATTCTTCATATGAAATATATGGTACCATGTAGACATAAAAACTTTTAGTTAATTTATTGGTATTATTGCTATCTTCTTCTTCATTCCATTACTTTCCCAGGGAAACATTGGACCATTATCACTACGCAAAAGGTGGTTTAACAAAAATTAATTTGAGTACTATTTATCACCTGTTTAAAATTTTAGTATTTCCTTGAATTTAAATTGGTCAGAACTATCTTGGAAATAGCGAGCTCAAATTTTTCAAATATAGTAGATCCGTATCTGTTAGATCCGTATCGATATAATTTTAGTGTTCGTAAAAGTAATTAATGACGGCATACAATATTTGAAATGTGAGAAATTAGCAAATTGTAGAAACCACCTAAAATTTTTTGTATTCATCACTGAGTGTAATGCTTGGCTTCAATTGTAACTAACATTCGAACGTTTTTTCGATCGAACGACACAGATTTGGTCTATTTGGTATTGATATATGATCATGGCAACTACAATAACACCTAAGTTTTTTTATTTATATATTTCATTTTTCAATATGTATCTATATAGTTGTCTATATATATCGAATAGAGGCTCAAGAACGATACTTACCAATATCGTCAACCATTTCATTTTCATATATTCTTATATGGCAATAAATCAATATACATATAGCCTACAAGTATGTACCCAACTATTTATTTCTTTATTGCACTACTGAAACTGCTTATTTTCCAGAAAGATATGTGAAGAAAGATATGTCTGAAAATATTGCTTTTATGGGAATATGAATTTCAACAAAAGTATCTATGAAGTAGTTAGTTGTTTCTACTAAGTAAACAAATTTTGCTGCTTTACAAGCACCAAATATTTCTACATCTCATATCTCTTCTACTCTCTTATTACCCACTTAGGCATAATAGACGACAGCTTCAATCATTTTCGTATTTAAAAATCATCAGAAAAAATTTTAATAGGATTACGCATCGATTCCAAGCCTTTACATCAACTTTTACGCAGGTTCTATGAGTTAGTTTTTTTTTTTCCCGAGGCCTCTAAATCTCGGGAAGGCTACAAATGACCTCGCAGTTGTTCTGAATATGTAATGAAAGTTTTTCTTAAGCCATAAGAGGTGTGAGGAGTATCGATTATGTACGAGAATAACCGCCACATGTCGGAGGATAAGATAACTTTTATCTTCATCTTATCTTTTGAGGATAAGATGAACTAATAAAAAGATAACGTGTGATGTGTATGCAGACTATATTTAAAAATAAAAATTGTGCGATAAGTGATTGGTGACTGAAGTGAGCTGAGTAAGTCAATTGTTTGAGAAATCGGTGCACTTGTTTTCTCAACATCCTTCACAACATTAATAAGTAAATTACTATCTATGCTATAGCATGAAAGAAAAATTGATATAATATGAAATTGGAACTGTACGGCATCAAATAGTCTCTCATACTGTGCCGTAGATGTTTCCAAAACTAAACATATTTATTCATTACGTATGGATTGTATTTTTAATCGTTATTTTGCGGTTGTTGGATTTTGAAAATAAATAATTTTTATTTTATTTTATTTTATACAATTTACGTGTGACAATTTTATACGAAATTTTGATTGCATTCAAATTGAAGAAGTAACCGGAAGCGTATGCGAAACGATCTATTTTTTTTTTGTTTTGAATTCTAACTGAATTTGCTATTCTAACTGAAAATAGCATTTTTGAATAGTAGGATACAAAAAAATAGGGAGAATAAATTTTAACAAAAAAATCAACAAATTTGATCTAACAAATTTTAAAAAGATTAAATAACCGATTTTTATATTTTCAATTAAAAATAAGATAAAACGTGGGGAGGTATCGACGAATAGAATACGTAAAGGCATAAAATGGAATTTCGTTTTTTGTTTTGATTTCTGGAGAGCAGGAAGCACTATTTACCGAACCAAAATTTGCGCAAACGTCACGTAAAAAAATATTTGCCATTTATATTTTATAAATTTTTTTTTTTTCACATTTGAAGTCGATTAGTAGTTTTGCTATCAATTAAAATTGATAAAATGAATTCAGCATTTATTTTAACAAATTTTAAATATTATTAATAATGCCTCTACAAACAGAATAGTAAACAGTATTGAAAGTATTCACAATTAAAAATAAAAATATAATTAATTAATTCAATTCTACAGCTGGTTTATGATTTCGTTCTAATATAAAACACAGCAAGCAAAATTGTTAATAAAAAACTTTCAGAGTAATAGTAACAGAAACTCCAGAAAAATATGCGAACAAAAAAGTCAAGTACGGCTCTGAGTCAGTTGTTTAAGTAGCGCTGACTCTAAGCTTCAAGTTTGGCAGGGCACGAGTTCGATTCCTGGTACTTGCAGTCTCAAAAAATTATTCACGAATAATTAAATAAAATAATTATTTCTAAGGCCAATATTGGTGGGTATTTGGCAATACTCGAAACAACTGCATGGTCAGACAAAAATTCAATTAATTAAAATAATATAAAATTAATTTTTGTTATTGTAGTTTACTGCTTTTCGAAAAGTTTTTAAATTCGCGCGTTTTGCTAGAGGTTTGTCAACTCGAACAACACGAAACGCAAAAAAAAGTGCTTAATAACAACACTAAGAACAGCTGAAAGAATAATATTAAAGCTATTGATTATTCATCATTCAATGACACCAGTAACGTTGAAATAACGAGAAGGTAAACCTAAGGTTCAACAAAAACAGCACTAAAATCTGGAGAAAGTGCTTTTAACAGCACTTAAAATAGCAAATTTAATATCTATTGCGGCTTGTCTGTGAAAAAAACTTTAATATAGTAAAGAACTTTAAATAAAAAAAAATAGCTCGCATATGTTTTTTTAACCAAGTTAAACACATGTAATGCATTTGTTTATTTAAGTTACCCTTGTTATTATCGGATTGGCTTAAATTTTGTTTTAAAATATTATAATTATAGTTTTTTGTACATGATTTTGTCAGTAAGTGCCAGCAGATTTTTTTAATTACAATTGTAAAAGTTAAGATTTCTCTGTCCATCACTTGAATACTCAGTTTAATTCGTTTTCCTTAATTTCTATTAAATTCCTTATTCGACGAACACTTCTATCACAAGGAAGGCCTCTCATTATACCGTATTGTCTTTCCTTTCCATTTGCTTACTTGCCATTAACTTTATAGGACATACCAGGATATCGTTTCGTATTTCACTCGGTCTAAACTGTTAATGTTATTGCTGGAAAGCGCCGCACATTAATTGGGTAATTAACTTTTGTTGCTTTCACTATTAGCCGGCAGCAGTTATCGAGTATTTGTAGCCAAGAAGTACGTATACTTGGTGCTAATGTTGCTAAATGATAGTAATTTGGCAAGAGAGACGACGACTGACTAAGCGTATAAAGCTATTAAATAAATAAAGTCAGGAATATTTTGAGCTGCAGACTAGGCATGCATGCAAGTACATTTGTCTCGGAATTGCGGCTATAAAGAAAGTTTCGCTTCTTCTTACAGACAACAATGAACTTTTGTTACACAGGACATAAAGTAGAAATTAAGTCTTGAGAAAAGTTTAGCAATAATATTGATGACAAACTTATGCTATTTGTTTAGACGTTTACTTATTAAAAATTAATTGTTATTCTTTTGCTTGGCTTTGTCTTATTTATTGCTATTATCGTTTCTTCTTTCGATTGCAGCGTTCAATTTCCAATGAAAGTCAATTGGTACTGGATGCTGTCAACTTGGCGAGCACTGGCAAATATAGCTGCGAGGTTTCGGCAGATGCACCGTCCTTTCACACATTAATTGCAGCCGGTGAACTTGATGTTGTAGGTAAGTTATTATGAAACGCCTTCAGTATACTCTTATAGTATATGTTTAATTTTTATTAAACAATTTTATAAAACTAAGTTGATAGACTTGATTTCCTAAGCAAGGAACTTTTCATTTCCTCATTTAAGGAAATGATGGTGACAGGGTTTCCAATGAAAAGTATGGTATTTATAGTTTTGTTTGTTTCTTTAAAGGTTTACTATATGATTTAAATATATGTTGTGTATTATTATAAAAAAAACTTTTGCTTACTTTAAAGTACTGTTTTAACACATTAAAAGAAAAATTAATTTAATATATATATTACTCATTCAACAACTTTGACAAATGCGTATCCAGTGTATCTACAATGTATGTCAATATATATATGTCAATATATATATGTCAATGACCAAAATTATATTTTTGGAATATTTTTGTTTCAAGTTTATGTTTGCTTTTAAAACAAACCAAAATTAAATAAGTTAAAGTTAACAAAACTGAAATTCTTTCCAAACAGTCTTGAAGGACATCACATCGAATATTCGTACAAAAAAAAAGTAATATTTTCTAAGTTTGCTTTGCCATAAAAACATATAAAATATTTTTTTGTGTCCTGACTAAGTAAAAATCGATGTTCCAGTCATGTACTGCAAATGTTGCGCTGCAGGAGCAGAAGATGAGCATGCCATATCGCCTTTCAAAGGTATATAGAGCAGAAGATAAAAAGTTTCGAGCAAATTTATTGACTTCAGTTAACTTAGACTGCTAATAAAATATGTGAACTGCTAAAACTATAAAGCAATATCTTTATGCTGCTTCAGTTAGTTCAGTTTTTCGTTTCTGATCAAAATTTAAATTTGTAGTGATTAAGCATACATGAATTGAAAATATGCAAATACACTTATACTTAGATTTTTTGAGATTTTTTTTTTTTGATGAGTAAAAATTTAAAATAAAATAAATTCTAACTACAGTAGTGTCTTGATAAAACAAGTAAACGTTCTTAAGAGGTTCATTCCTATCACCAAGACCAATTTTAATGGTATAAAATCAATATAAATCTAGTTCTTTTTTTTTTGAATTATATAAACAGTCAAGCTTCCATAACTCGAAGTCCAATTTTGGAAAGAAATGGTTCGACTTATGGAGACTTCGAGTTTGAGAATATCTTTAATTTTTTTTTATTTTTGAAAAAAACTAGAATTATATTTTAAGATATTTATTTATTTATTTAAAATCAAATATAGCAAAGAAGTTATAGAGAAGTAAAATAATTAGAAATTAATGTTTGCGATTTTAATTTTTTTTATTATTTTTAGTAAAAAAATATTCCAATTTACTCCAAGCTTTATCATTAGTTGGAGTATCATTGCTTTGTAAATAAAAATTGAAATTTTGAATAAGTCTTCTACTTCATTCTTGGAAGGCTGATGAACAATCACATCCACCGAACCCTCATCATTACTTTCCGTTCGGCTTAGAATCGTATCCATTTATTCAAAGCTATAACATTCAAAATTATTGTCATCTATAGGAAACCTTGATGTACAAATTTCATTGTCAAGCTCAATATAATCGTTAAGAGCAACATTGAAAGTTATTTTATTTGCTTTAAACTACGCATCCAGCAATTGGCATTTGCACAAAGAAACAATATAAAAAAGAAAAAATTAAACACTTGGTTTGGAAAAAGGGACTTCCCCTAACAGCAAAATGCATTTATACGTAAAACAAAATTTCGACTTATAGAATGCACTTCCCCATATTCCCATCGGCAGGGAACAATATTTTTGTTCGAGTCATAGAAATTCGAGTTATGGAACCAGAATTGTATGTAATTTGTTCTCTAAAACCTTGGTGCACTGTTTTTGGTTCGAGTTATAGAAAAGTCGAGTTATGAAAGTTCGTAATTTTAATAATAATATTAAAATAATGTTTAATTCTAATTATTAGAGCGAAAAGAAAAGAAGGAGGAAACAAGTAAAATTAATCAATTAATGGTATAACATAATTTTTAATACCTAAAACATGATCGTTCATATATTTCAAGTATACTTTATTCTCGACTTAAGAGACATTTTGTTTTGCATATTCAAAATATATTTTGTAAACGTGAATCTAAATCTCCTCATGCTTATTCAACATCTCTGTATTCCAATTTATTTTTTTATACTTACATAGTAACGTCACCTTTTACGCATTTACTAACTCCGTAAATAAGTATTTGATGGTGGTTTGGTTAGTTTTTTTTTAATTGGTTTAGGTGTTGATAGTACGTCCTTTTATACGCAATTAGCACAGAGGTGGAAATAGTTACCACACACCTGAATATGAAAATTAAATTCTAAAGCGGGCGTACTTGGTTAATAAAGGACATTTTTTTAAAAGATTTACATACGGAGTAATCGCCACAATGTCATTATACCCTTTTTCTGTCCATTTATATACTTCTTTTATTCCCTCCTTTGACTTCTGCATTTATAGACAAATAAAAACTTAATGGGCATTCACTGGACTATGGCTCGCTGACAGCGCCACGAATTCTACTGCTTCGACATTAACTCCTGAAAGTAGGATTTTTGTTCTGAATGAATCATAGCATGGTACTGTCCATTTGGATTTTTTACAACCAACCGAAGGTCTTAATTTAATTTAATTTAATATTGTGGTAATCATAGAAAATTGTTTTTGATTATATTCTTGAACATCTTTTAAAGAAATCAATATCTCTATTAATACAAGTCTAGTTGCTACACCTGTAATGTCGTTTCTTTGTATTCCACGGTATCCTAGATTGTATAACAATAATAATGTGCTTTGTTTTTTTACTTAGCTAAGAACTATATTGTACTTTAGCTAAATAGTGAAAGGATAGAAGCTTTACTGTTGTAGGAGATAGTAATCTGTTTGATTTTTTTTTTTTTGGAAATCAGTTATTCACAAATATACTTATTTAATTATATATGTTATGATGTATGGTGTTATATAGATATAATACCATGCCATAACATACATACCATAACACACATAATTATATATGTTATGGTATTAATTCTGTACTTAAGTAGAACACGAAACGACTTGGGTCAAAACTAGAGTGGCTTCCGTTCGTATGATTACATCGCTTGTTAATGCAAGCAGCTCATTTAGCTTGAAGTTGCCTGCTTGAGTCATTACCAACCCAATGGTGTCCCAAGACAGTCTTCCTTCTGCTTGCTAGTGCTGGACGTTATCACAATATATGCACCGCTTTCTCCTTTTCTTCTAGATATAGTCTGCAAGTGTCTTCCTCAGCAAGAGTTAATTTTTTGAGGTGATACTAGAATCTTCCATTTCCCGTAATCAATGAGGTCACCCAGCTTATGGTGCTCAGCGAATAGCTAAGCATTTTTATTGCTTCCCTCGTCAACGGTTTCGGCATCATAAGTTTAGCCTGCCTACAAATGTTTATCTCTCTCCATCTAATTATATGAAGTAAAGTTATCCACTTCACATTTTTGTAGATATTATTTTAATTCTTAGACGTATATAAAAACTAAAATCCACTCTTCATTGATGGTATACAATAAAATCGATTTATAAATATTTTGCTATTTCAGAAGTACCACACAACGCTCCATTTATAATTGGCCTACGTCCACGTTATCGCATCGGTGACATATTGCGTGGTAATTGTACATCACGACATTCGAAACCAGCAGCAAATATCACATGGACAGTGAATAATGACGAGGTGAGTTCATTTAACCTTTGGAACTAAACGAATACAACGGGTACTAAAAATACATCTAGCTTCCGTAAATGAGAAATAAAATCTGTTAGTTGTTTAGAATAAGACTTATTGAAATTAGCACAATAGTAATTGTATTTGCACATTCTTTAGTTTTTCGCTAGTATATGGTATTACTAACAAACTTCAGATGAAGAAGGTTTTCAAAAAAAAAGTTGTAATGATATCACTTGAACTCATTAATAATGTAAAATTAAATTCTTTTTGTTATTTCTTTTTTTTTTGTAGGTTAATCCTGTTCATGTCCGCTATCATAAGGTACTACGAGACTTACGAATTGACTATGAAACTTCTGTATCTGGTATTCATTTTATTGTTACACCACATCATTTTTTAAATGGTAAAATGAGGGTAAGTTATTTTGTAATAGTCTTTTTCTTAATAAATCAAAAGTCATCATTAATTCCAAGTGTCTTGACAGAACACAAAATCATTTTATAGTTCTGTTTTGACACCATATCAGTAACTTATGTTATGTCAAATAGAACTATTATCCATGATATCATATGTTAAGTTCAAGGTTTGCCATTTTATTATATGGATAGCGTAACAACCGCTGAATCCGATCCCTCCTATACTGCGGTAGATTGGTTCTGTGTTAAGGGGGGTATTCCTGAATACCCCGTATACACACGTGCAAAGGTACTCGAAGCTATTTATGAACTGTCAAATCCCCGCGTTATATGGTGGAATGACCGTGTTATACCGGAGATTGAAATCGCGTAATATGAAAACGTGTTATAAGGGTACCGCGTTATAGGGAGGATTACTTTACGTGTACTGTGAGGAGATTATGAATACCATAATAGTTCATGTGTGTACATAATAGACTAAGCTTTGAAAAAGTTTAAATTAACTGTATCTGTGATATAACTACTAAGTATTAGACGCGATTGAGACGCACATTCGACTGAAAATAGTGCTGCTGTAAGAAAAAGTATTAAAGACTATAAGTTTGCCGCTAAAATTATGCGATTCGTCTTATCTTTAATTTCACGCCGCAATTATTATTAATATTCATGTGGACAATCATTAAGTTCTCGAAAATTCGTCGTTCTATGTCGTAGCACCACCTTATCATGCGTTGACACCGAAAGTGATCTTAAAACGATTCAGAATGCAAGATATCCTATGATATTCATACTTAATGGTAAAACAATAGATTAAAACAAAACTTTCACAGAATTTTTAATTTCAATTCAGTATTGGAATCACATATCTAGTTTATAAACCGATACATAAGTATGAATAACGACTTTCGGGACTGAGAGAGTTGCAGAAATGATTAAAAATCCTTATTCGGTTTTAAATATTAAACAATATTTTTATAGTTTTTCAGTAGGTGGAGCCAAGCAATAGTGACTAGGTATATATGTATATTCCCAATCACTTTGACAAGACAAAACGCTTTGGTCATATGTTTTTATTAGTCTATTTGCATATTTGGATGTCTTTCCATCTATTACGATGAAAACTTATCTCTAATTTTTGTGTTATATTTTTAAATAGAGAATTTCTGATATATTAACAATGCAAAATAACTACTAAAAGCAAATAAATATGTGTCTGCATTGAAAATTAATATAATTATAGTAAATCATTTTTAGAATTCTCAGCGCACTGTTCTGGTATTTCTGTGGTTCTGTTCAGTGCTGGCTGAAATTTCTCAAATTTCAATTCAAATTTTTCTATAACTATTCGTGCAATTTGCAGAATAACACACCTCTTCAAAATAGTTTTGAGTACTTACAACTTTCATTATATGTCTTATGACAAGACATATCATATTATGGGGCAACATATAGCTAATTTTTAAATCCAAAAACTTTTCATTAAATCGCTTCTGTGGTTAACCATACAGCTGTTACTGCCAAATATCTATCCGTGGAGACATCTAATAATTAAATCTATCTTCTATCTAGCTATATTTGTTTAATAATGTTCAAATGTCAATATGAAAAATATAAAGTTCTTTCTGAAAGAAATCCTTCGGTAATAGCTTATAGGTTATGACAGTACAACAGTCCTTCAATGGTTGCTTCATCAAGAACACCTGATGTTGCTTGAATTATTTTAAATATAATTAACTTAATTTTACGTACATTAAAACTTAAATGCTTAACACATATAAAATATTATAGAATTTTTCATCTTAGGTGATATGCAGTGCTCAAATTTATGACGTTTATTTCAAATCAACTGAAAGAATCATAATTGATTTGGACTACCAACAGAAATACGCATCGGTTGGGTCAAATGTGTTAATGCCAGACGATAACTATGATCAATTGCATGTTGTGCAGGATGGAGAATTTCTGCGCAAGAAGGATAACAATTACTTAACTCAACTCCAAGGTATGTGTACCAATTAACTTCTATAAAATATGCTAGCAAATATCAATAAAAGATGAACCAGCCTAAACATGAAAGCAAAACGAAAGTGCACTAAATATTGCCTTTGTCCTTTCTCCCTAGAATTCTTTTTTAATGTTGTGCCCACGGGTGAGAACACGGACAATTCAGTTTGGTTCACAAGCAGTAGTGGCGCCTATTGTTATACTAGCATTAACACCGTTCCAGTGCTACTGATGACAACTATCTTATTGTGTTACTGCAACCTATCGTGCTTAGACGAGTTTGTAGCCTGCATGGTGCAGTGCACAACAATTGGCAACCGTTCTAAACAGTATCAAAGTAGTGCTCCCAGCCAGTTGTGTGCCACTTTGACATCACAACACCGAAGGCGAAAATGGCCAAGTGTACAACAGGCTCAGCAATGACACATTAAATATCACGTATTATAGTGGCAGCAACAGCAACGGCAACTATACCATTTTGTGTTGGAAACATGATTTGCTTCGCGTTTAACTTGACAACCCTTGGACTGAGCTCGGTACTCTCTGTTCGTGTAAATTGGTAGTGATGTTCAGAATTAAACAATATATATAGATAAATATATACATCTATGTATGCATACATATACAAATGGAAAAAGAATTAATAATATATTTATATGTAAAAACTCCTACAGCAAGTTGCATTTAGGCTGTTCAGCCATTAACAAGTATTTTTACTTTATTTAGCAATTTGGCCAGTTCATACCTTTAATATTCCATACACTATTACTGTATCCTTATATATATATATAAACTATTTTATTGAATTCATGTCATTCTTCTGTTATTTGATCTCTTTATATATAACATTTGCCAAATTTGTCAATAAATGCATGTATAAAATCAAAAGAAAAATATAATTTTATTATCGTATATGAAGTTGAAAGACATTAGTATAAAATATTAAAAACATTTTTTAATTTAAGGTAAAAGTGAAAAAAAAGTAAATCATTTAAATAATACACAACATATACACAAATAATATGTTGTATTTATTTATTACTTATTTGTGGTGCAATTTGAAAGTACGCAGTAATAATTTATTTTTATAGACTACAAATCATCAGGAAACTTCTTTAGGAGGTAAACGTAAATGTCTGGAAGCTTAAGCTCAATCATATCCCAATTAACAGATGTGATTGTGCCAACAGGATCATTTTCATCAATGACCACCATTATTATTGAACCCTCCAACATATTGACTTTGCAGTAGTGGCGTTGCTACGAAGTTTTGCCTTTTAGGTATTGGGTTTCGAAGCTGATTCATCTAATGAGACACTGAGAACTTGCTTCGCTCAGGCAATCCTGCATTTCATTGATTCGGATGTCAACAAAACAATGCCGTATCTTTCAAGCAGTCTAGTCGCTGCTCGGCGTTTTTTGTGGCTCCGCCTCACAGGAGGCCCAGACCGTATTGGTGATGCAAAATACGTGGATTAGTGATCAATTTTTTAATACCACTAGAAGATGCGTTGTGTCACTTATTTGAACACGTAGTGTTTAAAGGTTTTGAGCTTTATACAGTCGAGTTCTCCGTTTTTGATTGGTGTTAATTGTTATATTCTTTGTTATTCATGATTTAATCCACGAGTTAAGGAAAAACTGATTGTTGATCAGGGCAAAGATCCGCTTTACTCGGACAAGGTTATATTTCAACCGAAGGAAGTCAGTTATACTGAGGTCTCATGCGGCCCACGGTTAATATTTGTGCGGTCCGTGAAATGTTTTTAATCTATTACAATTAGATAAATTTTTCTTTGTTATATTTTAGTCATATAGCATAATTTTGTTTTTGTGATATTCTAAAAAATTGTATTAAAATGTTTTATTTGAATTATTACACTTCACGTTCATTTACTTAATTTTCAAAGACTTTAGTATATATATCTTTGTACAAGTGATTTAAAGAACTTGTATCTAGTACTATAAGGCATTACATTAAAAAAAAAATATGTATCGTATGGCAACAACTAATAGTAATAATGCTGATATTGACAAAATAATAAAAGATAAATTATTAATGAAGAATTACTAAAATTAAACTTATTATTATGGGCATATTTTTATTTTTCTCTGGAAAAATTATGAACGTATGTATTTATTTTTGCGGCACTCCAACGTATTTAGGGATTTGTATTTGCCCGCGATATTATCTTAGACAATTTGAATGATTTGCTTAAACAGAAAAGTTTAGAATTGATTAATAGAAAAGTTTGATAATTCACCAAATGCTGTAAAAACTTGGATATAATGTCACACCTATCATATTTTCCGGATCCGGTATCTTTAAATCATTATTTATTACAGTTTCTATAAAACTTTTTAAACATCAATACTTTTGGATCAAAACAGTAGGTTTAAAATCATCTGAACCAGGGTCTTGCAAGCAAAAAAAATTTTTTATAGGCGTGCAATCATTCTACATCATGAAATATAGAAGCAGCTCTTAGACCGGAATTGACAGTATGTAATTCAACAAAATATTTATTGACTGTGATTATGTTCAATCTATTTGAGCCAGAGCACTTGAGCACTTTTACTCTTTCTTAACTCGAGGTATCTTCAAAACCCCTCTTTACGCCTTGACTGGATTATTTTTTATCACTTCACCAGATTAAGCAATAATTGACCTCAGATCTGCATACCTCCCCGAAGAGCCTGTTCTGACATAAATTCAATAACCATTCTGAGATTCTATAACGCGGTGTTAGTAAATCTGTCGGTTTTCGCAACTAATTGTAGGGCTCCATCCTTTATATATTTTATATATATTATATATATATAAAATATTCATTTTCATAAATAAATCGTGATTATTTTACTACTATGATCGAATATATCATCAGTAGATTTCAAGTTTTGAAGATTTATCTAAAAAGACAACTACTCTGAGAAACTATAATTTTGGACTTAACAGTTGTGTTAAGTCATTTAATCCATAAATGTACGGTCAGAAATGATATGTATGATATGTTACAGGATATTTTTCAAAAACTGCTTAAAATCTGGTAAATGGAAATAAAATAAAATTAAGTCCTTAAAACTTAAGAATTTTCCATATAATAAAAAAAAAAACTCATGAGCTATGGAGTTTTGACCGCGAGAAAATAATGAACTAATCTGCAAAAATATATGGATGATGGGATGGAATGGGATGGGATGATGTACTACAATTCCAAATACCAATTTTGAAGGCTAAAAAAGTTTTAATGATTTTAAGTGTTACTATTAATTTACTAATTATTTATTATTAAATAATTCCGGATACTTTCGGATACTTTTAATTATCAAAAAAAAACAAAATAGTAATGGCTAGTATTATTTAACATAACTTGATATTTAACTGCTCTAACAAATGAAAGGTTGGACATTTAAATTGCTTCCTTCAAAATTATTATGAATACATATATTCTCATATAGTCCCACTATCTGCAAAATCAGCTTATTACCTTAAGTAGGTAAACATGTTTGCTAATATTAAAGAAACAGACACCATCTGACCTTAAATCATCAGTGATGTTTTCATCATCGTAAATAAATATACAAAAACTGTGTGTGGAACCATAGATGATATATATCATACGTATATATATGTACATACATACATGTTATTATATAAATAGAGCCATTCTGGTAGTGCTAACAAAGAAACAGTTTCTATATGTGATTGTATGATACTATGATATTTTTTTATGTCCGTACTTGTCACTGCCATGTTTTTATTTAGATTTTTTTTTCCTAAAATAGAACAAAGTTAAAAAAAGGGAGAAAAGAAGTACAGTTCGCAATTAAGTTTGTTTTTATTTAATTAAATGTAATGTACGCGCACTTGTATCATTATGAGCTTATAATGCGCTTTTCAACGAAATATACGAATAGACTTGTATCTCACAGTACACAGGTCTGAATGTGTGTACCACTAGTACTACATGCGGTGGAGTGCATTTATTTACAAACTCATAGTATATACCGTATGTACTTTTGAAACTATATTTTGTGCAGTTGCACTAATTAAAAATTATTACATTATTACAGCCATTTTATGTCTTGAACTTACAATGAAGTGAGTATTTTTGATTTTTATAAAAATATTAAATGTGGCCTGGAATAAAAATATTCACCAAACAAACAAAAAATGAAAAAAAAACAAAAAAACGAGAAAACGAGAAAACATGCTTTAATTAGGAAAATAAAATTAAATTAAGAACAATTTAGCCGAAAAAATATTAATGACTTAAATAGATTTTATATATTCAGTAAGGACTTTACTATGAAACATTTCAAGCATTCCCTATTTAACATATCGTTGGATACGTTTTCGTCGTGGTCGTTCGCGATGGCTGGATCCCGACAAGTAATTAAATAGTTGACTCAAGTTTCGAATAACCGTTCTTATTGCTCTAAATTTTATCAAACACAAACACAGAATTTTCTCCAATAATCCATAAAACAATACAATTTAATTCCTGCAAGAAAAATCTTTTCGTACTAAAATCAACAGCACTCTTTCGTCCGCCCGAACAATAGAAGCAGGTATAACTCAAAGGATCGCCACTGTCACCCACATTGTTAACTATATATACGGCACACATCCCCACATTAAGCCCCGCGTCAATGGCGCTTTACGCAGACGACACGTGCTTGATCTACTCTGACCGGGATGCCATAAATGTGAACAACACTTTACAGGGAAATACAGACCTTATGGTGAAATACTTTCAAAAATGGAAGATTAAAATTAACAATGACAAACCCAAGGGTATAATCAGGCTATAATCATAACACGAAAGAGAAGGCAGCATCCTCGAAGAGTAAGCGTCGGAGACACGGAGATACGGTGGAAGGAAAGCATAAAATATCTGGGGGTCATGATTGACAAACGGCTCAATTGGTATAAACACATGAAATGCAGACGGAAGAGCTGCTCTAAAATTTTACATCTTCTAAAGCCACTGTTTAATAATAATCACTTCAAGCTCCAAAATAGGAAGTTACTATATACTCAAATAATTAGGTCAGCACTACTGTACGGATCTGTTACATACAGCAAAGCCTCAAATGCAGCTATAAACCAGTTATTGAATTTCAGAATAGTTACAGGCTCCTTGGGGAGGTATGCAGATTTGAGGTCAAGTTTTGCTTAGTCTGATGAAACAATAATCTAGTTAAGACTTGAGCAAAAGTGCTCAAGTGCATTGGCTCAAATAGTTTCAACATAGATCACATAAAATCGGGCTATAAGAAAACTATTAAAGATTCCATGATATATTACAACAACAGACATGCACAGATATCTAAGGATCGTCTCAATGAAAAAATATATCAGAGACAGAGCTTTAAAATTATTCACAAAAGTTGATACGTTGCCCCACCTCGCCCTAGCAAACCTCAAGACCACCTCAGAACCCACAATGTCCAGTGAGGATCCCTCTGACAAGTGCGGTGCCTTTTTTGTTCAGCATTGGTAGTAATGGCTTAGTAATGATCAGTCATTGCTGCTTTTTTTAGCCATTTATTTATTTTGAGTTTGAAAAAGCTTCATGAAGGATCGCAGAATGGTTTTGGG